ACATCCCATGATTCCCATCATCCCCTCCTACTCACTCATCTCCAGCTTCATACAACGTGTGAGCAACACACACACACGCTTGCAAACAAAAAGCTCCTGAAAATCTGTCTTTCTTCATAAGAGAAAACTTAGGATTTGTCTTTCTGACTTACTTTGTTAGTGTGATTTCATTTCTTGGTAATGTCATGATTTCATTTTCAGAGTGAAAAGTCATAAAATTATGTTTCCATAAATGTTACCAGAACAAATAAAACAGGGACAAAGAACAGAGCCACAAATGCTACACATGCTGCTATTGATAGTGTGTGTAGGGCGGTTCTGACCGCTGTACTTCCCTCACTGCAGAGAACAGAAGTCACGCATCACACGTTTAGAGAGGTGCACTGCATAAATTAATTTATATGCTAACAACAACATTAACTAATTATTGTAAATTTTAAGTATGAATACAGTTACAAAGTTGATTCAGGAACTTGAGTTTAATTACTGTTACAGAGGTACAGAAGCTTTTATTTTAAGACAAAATTTTTCTACATATTTACTATTATTGGGGAATAAGATTAATTTTTCTTTGGCTATAAAATGGTTTTATATCTTTGACAAACCATTTTACTTGTCATGCAACCCTCTTAGGTTCAAGACAGGTGTATTTCAAGCAGCAGGAAACAATGAATTTCGTGTTAATAATATTTTGTAGAAAGTTATAGATTGAAGCTGTGTTTAGTAGTATAGTAGACTCAGTTTACACCTACGATCTACATTCTGAGAAATAGAGCATAAAAAAATACCAATTGAACTATTCCCTTAATATTAGCTCTTCATATTTTAGATAATAGAAATCAATGAATGGGTTTTCCAATAGACTGGTAAATAGATATATAAACATAAATAAAAATGAGAGCATTAACTAAATATAGATCATCAATAGAATCCATCAATTTGAATATATTCCTTTCCCTTTCTCCAGGTCTTCATTAACTTGGACATTGAACCTATCTTCATCCATCTTTGTGAAAAATCTAACAAAAACAAGTGACTATGTTCTAAACTTGAAGAAGAGAAGACATGAAACCCTATGTAGTGATTGCTCATAGTTGAGATATAAATGCATAAAAACATAAACGATTGCAATTTTGTGTGCTAATTTTTGAAATTTCAGAGTAATTTTCTAATCTCCCTATAACAAAAGTTTGGTTTTAGTAAAGACTTCTGAGCATTCTCAAGAGAAGACAGATATTATGGTGGAAAGTCTCAGTGTCTACAATCCAAACACAAATATATACAGTTGTTATCAATGAGAGAGAATAATAAATAAAAGCAATGCCTCCCCAATTAGAGGGAAACATTTGAAAAATGTTAAACCAGCTTTTGAGTAATATGTTTGTATGAAGACTTTCACTCTTGTATTTGGCAAGCCTTGGACATTTTAAATTAATGAATTTTCCAATCACTTAGAGAAGAAATTTAAAACAAAGTTTACTCTCAAGATGTAACTTGAGACTGAGTTATATCTCTGTTTTATTATTCCTAATGGCACTGAGTCAATCCACAGATATTTCATCCTGCAATTTTCTACTGTTATGAAAATGCATAATGTTAATCATTGTGATACTTTATAAACTGACCATAAACCAATGTTTATAGTCAGTTAATCATTGTATTACTTTGCCCTAGGTAATTTAATACATTACCTTAATGTAGCAATCTACTTAATCTACATTCTAAAGTGAACACAATAAAGGTTGTATAGCCTTAATGCATTATGCATTCTAACCCAAAATTTAAAAAGACAACTGAAGTTTGGACAGAGTTCAGCTGTTCATAACTCTGGTTTCTTCTGCGTTTGCTGGGAAGGATGAAGGTTTAATGAAGGGCATCAGTCAACTGCTATTCTGTGTCTGATGATGCATCTGTTCCTCAACCTGCTCCCTGCGAAAATAGCTTTGGATAGCGTCAGTTTCCCACTCAGAGATCTACAATGACTCTATTATGGAACACCAATCCCCAATTGCAAGGAGGAAAAAAACCTACCCCCCAAAATAGACAATAAACTTGGAAGTAGGTGGCACTGATTTAAATAAAGCAAGTTAAGAACTTCTTTTGCAAGTTACCAAACAAAATTATTTTATTTTTTAAGATTTAGATGTATGAGCGTTTTCTGCATGTATTTATGTGTGGCACCTTTAGTTCCTAAGGAGGCCAGAGAGGGCAGTGGAAACCATGGAATGGGGGTTACCGTGTGGGGCACTGGGAACTGAATCTAGGTCCTCTGCAAAAGCAGAAAGTGTTTCTAACCACAGAATCATTTCTCCAGCTCCCGGTTTTTAAAATGAGCACTCTCAAATACAATCAAGTCATTGTGTCCTCTTACAAGTAAACTTTTAGTGAGGGGCCACTGTGTCCCAGTAACAGGCCCGAGTGGGCTTGCTTTCTTGTCACAATTAATCCTAATTATGGGGAGTGAGATAGAGTTCATTCTTGGGCTCACAGCTGAGATATACTAGATAGGAATATGTGGCCAGTTTGGAATTTCAGAAATCAGAAAAGAACCTGTATCAAAAGTTTCTTCTCTATTGTTTGTGTATGAAGAATATGGGTATTATAATAGCTATATTGGTACTCCCATCTATAGAAGGTTCTACAACTACATTTGATGAGACTAAATGGGAGACTCAAGGCTGGAGAAAGTGCTGTGATGTACCAGGAAATGGCATGAATCTTAAAACTGTTCTTCTTCAGTCTGGATAAAAGCCAGCTGCCAGCTCCTTTGTGTTGGCACATAGACGTACCTTAATGCCGAAATGCACTAGAGTATCCTGTGGGAAAAAGGAGCACGGACAATGACCTGAGAATTTCATTCTGGTGACCACAGATATGAGTTCTTTTTTCAGACAGATCCACTCTTTTTCCCCACAGTGAGGCTTTCCAGAAACAATTTTGCAGAAGAGACTCCTAGAATATATATATTTTTTTAAGTAATACTTTTTCTACCAATGAAACTTATTTAAAAAATCTGAAGATTCTGGGCTGTATTCTTACATTCTTTCCTTTTATTTCCTCCCATATTGTATCGAGTGTTAGATAAGGAGAACACAGGAGCTGATACAAGGCCAACAATTTTTTTTTTTTATAAAAATCTCTTAGCCATTAAGGAATTGTAAATTACAAAAATTTTGAGATTTCAATATACTCCAGTCAAAATGGTTATGATAAAAAGAACAAATGACATGAAATTTTGGCAACACTATAAAATGAGGAAAACCCACCAGAGGATAGTGGAACGGTACTGTAACTACTCTAGAAATGGTTAGGGAGTTTCCTCAAAATTTTAAAAATACACCTACCATATGACCCTGTTCTACTGCTTCTGTGTATATACAGAAATGATGCTGTATTCTTCCACAGAGATACTCACACATCCGTGTTCACTGCTGCATTGTTCTCAACAGCAAGAGAATAAAACCAGCCTAGGTGTCTTACAGTGTGTATTGAAAATATAGATATATGCACAATGGAGTATTGTGTAGCTATTGAGAGATTACAATTATAAATATACAGGAAAGTGGATGGAGCTGAAACATATTATATGAAGTAGTAGGTTGCTCAATCTCAGAAAAACAAAAATGACATGTTCTTTCTCCTATGGGATCCTAACTTTTAATGTTTGCATGTATGTTAAAAACATATACAAATACATATATGTATGTAATAACAATCGATGAAAAAAGAGGGCATGAAGTTGGAGGAGAACAGTGAGGGATGTAGGGTAGGGTTTGAAGCGGGGAAAAGGAAGGGAGAGAAGTTGTAAGCTTGTGGGACTAACCAAACAATAACTGATTTCACTTAAGACCCACTCCATGCCTGACACTGCTGGGTGACCAGGAACCAGAATGAAAGAGCCCAGGGACCTGGAGTATAACCAAATAATACTGCTCTCACAAAAAGAAAAAGAAAAAGATCAAAGAAACATAGTGATAAAATGACTCCTAAAGCTATGCTCAGAGATCAGCGCCCTCCTTGCTCAGCCACCATCAGAAAAGCTTTCTCATGTAGCAGATGGGAACAAATGCAGAGGTCCAAAGACCTACATGATGTAGAGAGTGAGAGTCCTTAGAAAACTCAGCCCCAAATGGGATGTCTCCATCATACCCCTCCACTCACAGCTTAGGGCACCCGAGGAAGAGGAGGCAGAAAGAATATAAGAACTAGAAGGGATGATGGACTCAAGGAAGCAAGCCCTCTAAATAAACATTGGTAAAGCTCATATGAACTCAGAGAGACTCACACAGCATCCACAGGCCCTGCAGGGGTCTTCCCTAGATCCCCTACACACATATGATTAGTGTTTAATGCAGTTCCTAAAAATGTGAGTGACTTTCTGATTCTTGTGCCTTCTCTTTGACCCTTTCCCCTCTGTTGATTTGTCCTGTCCAACTTCAATATGATAGTTCTTTTTTAATCTTATTATATTTTGTTTTGTTATATTTTAATATTATCTCTTAAAAGCCTGTTCTTTTCTAATGAGAGAAGACAGGGAGTGGATTGGAATGGGGAGGAACTGGAAGGAATAGAGAAGTAACTTTAATCAGAATATACATGTGAGAGAAGAATCCATTTTCAATAAAAGGAAAAAAATTAAAAAACCAGGAGTTTTCACTTTGAAAGCAAAACTGGTAAGTAGACAGTCAAATATGCTTTCTCTGCTTTGTTTTATTTTATTGTTTCAGTCAACAAAATTTATATAGAAGAAACAGTACTAGTTTTAATGATAACAGTAGCTACAGCAATATTTGCCATTTATTGAGCATCTCTTCAGGTTCTTTTCATAGGTCATATCACCAATCTCAAACAAGACTTCTGTAATCTCTTGTCTGTTTTAAATGAAATGGACAATGGGAGCAATTAACCAACTTATATATTCTACACACGGCAATGCAGGGAACCAGGCTCTAGTTGTCTAACTCGAAAGCGTGTGTTGAAGGGCCTAATGCATCGTGTCTGTCTACTTACCATACTAAATTTGCTCTGGTTTCATCCAAATGTACAGTGTTCCTTGGGAGGCTTCTACCACTTTTCTGTCGCTGTAGAAATTAAAGAGTTACAAAAGGCATTGTTTGGGGCCTGAATTGGTCATATCACAATCAGGAAGGTGTACATAAGTGTTCTTGGTGTTGGTATTCTTTAAACATCTGGATAAGTCCAGTTTTACACATGAAAGGGTGATACTGAAACAAAACTGGAAAGCAATGGGATTAAAGCTGTGAGCTTTTTCAAGTTGGCTCATCCTTGTGTTTGCCAAAACCAGTCTGGTGCTTTGTGTCACACTTCTCTGCCATATGCAGGCATATTGGCTCTTTTCCTTGGGAAAGTGTTTACATTTAAAACACACCCTCACAACAGTATTGGCCAACCATGTTTGTCCTTGTTTCCTGCCAGGTCGAGATCAAATATTTTTTAATTGTATAATAGAATAGTGGCTTCTTGGGGTAAAAAAAATTAAAAACTTAAGTCAAACTAACTTAATATAAAACAACAGCATTAACTACACCCACCAAATGACATCAACGAGCTGATGGGAAGGGATCCACAGTTGCTCGGACCCTGACAGAAGTTCTCAAGGCATCTGCTGCTTGGAGCTTAGAGGGATGACTGGGCCAACTGAACATGCGTTCTCATTTTCATAACTCGCTCCCTGAGTGTTTGTTTTGCTCTCTTTTGTTCTCTTGCATCTTTAGGGCACACGTGGCATTGTGTGTCTAACACTGATTGGAAACTGACAGCAAAGAGCCGCCATCAACCTTCCTCTCAAACTCAAGATAAATCCCAGAGCAGGCTTCAGCTTGCCCTGGCTTGGGCCTTGCTCTTGTTCTCTCTGTCTGACACTTTGGCCATGCATGGGTCACATAACTAATACCTAGAGTACTGGGATGACTGTAGCCCCTTATCACCTAAAATATTTGGAGTTAGGAAAAGCAGAGTGTGGATGCAAGAGAACATTCTTTCTAGAAGAGAGAAAAAAATGACAGGCTGAACACAAAAGCACAGGTGATAATCCTCCAGAAATTTGATGTATCTCCCCAAACTCATGTCCATGTCATGAGATAGAAGAGCAGCAGATGTGGGCTTTGTGAGGCTGGCAAGTTACCTGCTAATTCAAAACTGATTGGTGCTGTAGTTACCTTGCTAGATGCAAGGGAAAGCCGCAAGTGATTGGAATGGCCATCTGTCATTTGATTTTTGAATGACAGATAAAAAGCACAGAAATGGAGTCGGAGCTGAGGTTAGGTCAAGGTCGCTCATGCTTACTGACATTTCATGATTCATCTCCCTGACTCGTATGCCTGACTAGTTAAATGGGGGAAATGATAGTACCTTGGATGTTACCTGGACTCACCGAGGACATTTCTAAAAGTGCTGAAAGAACAGCTGCCTGTAAAAGGTTCAATGCATATTGACTAGCAGTAAGGACAATAAACCAAGTTGATAACAAAAACTCTATGACGCTGTCACTATAAATACCCGTAACCTTCGGGTGGAGAGCAGCTTAGGATGGCCATGGAGTGATATATCCACAACACACCTAGAGTTATGTTGTACACACACACACACACACACACTTTCCACAGTAGTTTAAAAAGGGGAGATCTTACCCGGGCTCTGTAGGAACTATGCATTGGTGGCAGCCCTGTTTTAATACACCACTGGGCAAAATTTTGACATTTATGGAGTTTTAATTTCATTCTTTCCGTTCCCAACTTTCCTCGTTATCTCTGCATTTATAAAACCTTGAACTTGGTTCCCAACACTTCCCCACTTCAAGAATATCCTATAATAATCACTTGCTTTATTTGAAAAGAACCAAAGTGACATGTTATAAAGCAAGTGAGACCATGCTTGTATTTTCTCAACTTCCTATGTGATTCAAAGTACATCCTGGAACATATATGAAATCTGCAAAAAGAAAGCCACTTGATTATTTGTGCAGAGTAGCAGGCAAGGTGAACACAAAGCGTTTACAAGGTTGCTTCAAGGTCACTTCAACACTCAGGGTCAGATCGGCCTCAGTAAGCCTTGGGGGCCAAGGTTTAGTATCATTGTTAAAATTCTTCTAAAAGAACTAATCACATTAACTAGAATAGCAATTTAATAAAACTCTTTATTTCTAAGAAACAGATATAACCGTTGACCACCAGATGGCTCCCATATTTTTTTTAAAAATTTCATCGGAAATGGTAGAAACTAAAAAACAAACACAGGTTAAAAGAAAGTTATACTGAAAGGAGAAAATGATCCAGCCTGCGGAAGTCTGAAGTCGGCATGCAGGGCTGGGAGATCCTCTTCTCTGATAGCGTGAGCTGTGGAAGTGTAGCGCGGGACAGGTTTCAGTGCTTTACTCTTTAAATTACTAGGCTCATGCAATCGGCAGTTGGAAAAGCAAATATTATGCAGGAACAATGCTGTCCTCAATCTTACGTTAGACAGTATGCTTGTTTCACGTTTTGTTTTGAATGATACTAACATCCTATCCTATCATCGGGGCTGATCTCTAGGTTTTCTGCACAGAGTTTGCACCGGACAAAGTATACTTTACTCATAGACCTCCTTTACTCTCACTCCTTCTATGTATCATTTTATGAGCCATATAGTGTTAATGTCATGATACAAATCAAAGTCCACCATCCAAAGAAAATCATGCTGAACTGTGCTGACAACAGAGTCAGCCTATGACATCCTTGGGTTCCATTTAGGTCACAGCTCCAGGAGGGTCACTGCTGGTGTCCTAGACGATGTCTTAACTGATACGTTATCCAAAGCTTAATATGTAAGCTATTAAGATAATAGACCCCGCATGTGCCACTTTGACAGCTTCTTTAAAGGCTAGGCTGCCCAATTTTTCTCTAATTAAAAGCTCTAGCCCAGTTTAGTGATCCGTAGCTACTGAGCCCCGGTGCTTTCAGAGTGTACACATCTATTTCGAGAGTATTTTTTTTTTTATGTCAATGGAAAGAAGCATATGTTTCTGTGAGTCATCTTAATAGAGCAAACTCACAAGAACGGGTGAGCTGCTCTTCCTCCCTGCCCCTGAGTTTCCTTACCTTTCCTTGTTAGCACAAAACTTGCCCTGGTGCCTCCCGCCACTGGGAAGGCAGTCATGCGCGGGCCAGGGCTCCTTAGCCCATATGGTTTTATTTGTGTTCCGCTGGCACAGTTATACCCATACAGTAACCAACATAAATTTTTAGTTTTATTATCACCTCTAAAAAGAGACAGAAATGTGAAAATTGAAGCCAGAAGGTTTGTATCACAGGATTAATTAGGCAGGGCCAAGTGGAGTAGCACTCTTTCTGGCAGTGAGCGCCTCAAGAAGGTGCCTGCCTGCAATTACCAAGCACACGACGCAATTAAAAACGCTGCTTCTTTCTCCCGAGGTGTTACTTGTTAGTTGATAAATCTCTTTTTAAAATTCTCTGGGGAGCTGAACTGGCTTGAGGTGCAATCTACCAGGGTAGATATTCATGAAAAATTGATTCAGCTGTAGCCCTAGTGCAATAGGTTTAAGACAAACCTGAAAGGAATGAACAGTGTGTTGCTTGGCTGACATTTTATTGGCCATTCTTTTTTTAATGAACAAAAGACTAGATAATTAAGAATTGGGACATTATGGATCTCCACATGGAGATATGAATCGAAGCGGTCTGCCTTCCCGAGTATGGCATTCTAAGTCACATTGGACATCTGCCTGACCTTTACCACTGGTCTATTCGTACATACTACGGCTAACAGGATGGTCCAACAAGGCTCAGACTAAGCGTGTGCCTCCCACAGCCCACAGCCCTTTGGAATAAAAACAGGCCTCAGTTTAAAAATGTTTCCTTGTTGCCTGATGTACATACATGCCCACAGAGATTTGAAACCTGGGTCTGTTGTTGTAATTCTCCCAAAGAAACTTCTGTTTTGCATGGTTATTTTGAAGACTCCATCAGGACCCTCCGTTAGAAAAGATCCACCCTTGTCCAGTTGTCTTCTGGCAGCTTTTTGGCAGAGTGAGATTTTACCACAAGACTGTAAATCACCCAGCTCTCTCTTTCCTCTGAAATATAAATAATTTAAACTTACAGCATGCACTGCGTACCTGGTGAGGAGAGGATGCTCTGTCAAGATACATGAACTTGAGCTTCAGCAATGATCTCATACTTCCTGCTGAAAAGAGAAGCAAAATACTTTTAAATCAATAGGCTAAACCCATCATTGTGAATGCAGAGATGGAACTCTGCTTTCATTCCAAAGTGTACCGTGAACAATTTAATGCAACAAAGGAAGCAAGAGACCCCTGGCTATGCTATTTCTATTTCTTAATTAGGAAAGTTAGTTATGACTAAATAATGTTTTACCCCCTGCTCAGTCTCCACCTTACATCTTATTTGCTATTTTTATGTTTAATATTTATAAATAGATTATTTAAAAGGATTATTCAGACTGTAAATAATGATCAGAAAGAAGTTGTTGTTTCCTTCCATGTCCATTTTAGGTTTGGTTTAGAGGTTCATCTGCCACGCACCGCGCCCCTGTGCCAGCGCTCTGTGCGCTGGCACCCAGTTGGCGAGCTTCCGGCAAGGGGGCTGGGGGTTAAAATACACAGACACACACAGACAGAGAGACAGCGACACGGGTCATGCTTGAATTCCCCAAGAATGCCCCTTTATTGTGTTCAGGGGCAGATTATATAGAGATAGCCACGCCCCAGCCAAACCCACCAGAAACCACTCTTCTGCCATCAGGAACTCCTGAAGGTCTCGTGCTTGGACCAGCTGTAGGCACTCAGATCAGCGGATTACAAGAAATTCAGGATCTGGGGTCTCACTGCTCCGAATATTTATCAGTAAGTAAAAGAACATAATTGGGATTTATTTTGTCATTCTGAAATGAACTTTTGTCTTCATGGAGCAACTTGAAGAGCACAAACATGGAATGTATGTTTTCCTCTTTGGACTCTGGCTGTGGTTGAGCCCAAGTTCCTTGATTATGTTTTGGCCTCCTTTTGGCTCTTAATAGATATTCCTTCCTTGAAAGTTTCCCCATGGACTGAGTTCCCAATGGCTGTGAAGTCTTTGGGCTGTAAATGCAACAGATGTCTCCTGAGTGATTAGATTATATGGTAGAAGTAAAGGTATTTGCTATCTGCAGTTAAAATTCATAATCATTTGCTTTGTTTTAAGTCATTTGTTGGATGACTTGATTCAGTCAGGTCTTTAAAACAGGATCTAGAAATGAGAGACTAGAAGTAACAGCAACCCTCCATCCTGCTGCCCTCAGGAGTCCCACACTCAGAAGAAAGCACACTTAGTCATGGTATTAGATCATGGTATTTGGTCCTGTTAAAATACCATGAGTTTCCAAGATCAGCCAAGCCCTACTTCACAGGGATTCCATTCCTAAGTCTGCATCCTCATACTGCAACCTGCATTTGTCATAACCCAGGCCTTAGACAGGCTTTCCTTTAAATGAGAGATTGGAAAATGGAAGATGCTGTCAGGAAGATTTATTATTTTTTCTCATCACTAATTTGGCCATTTTTCAAACCTGGTAGTCTCCTACTAGAAAAAATTCCTAGAAGAATATCTTGTTTTCTTTCATTGGGTTTTGAAGTAGGGTTTTCCACTGGGCCATTTGAAATTACTGAACTTCTGCAATTCTCTCTTACTTTTTGATGTCTGTGAGAATTAACAGAGGAGTATAAAATGTAAAGAACAGAATAAAAATGTGTGTATCTGTTCCTGGAATTTAATAGGATTAATGCAGCTAGACATACTTTAGTCACCATTGTTAATTTGTTTCAGCTTAATACTTTGACCTAACATTGAGACTCCAGGCTCACATAGAAATACGGAGTCACTTTTTTGCCAAGTGCCTCAGCATATTATTTGATAATTGCACGAAAAAAAGTTAATGCCAAACACACTTACTTTCCAACAACTAAGTCAAATATGTGAGAAAATTACCTCAATGACAAATTCTGAACACGTGGAAACTAGGCATTCAAAACAGGGCTATGTTCGTTAGCTTTCCTTTACTACTTAAAAATACGTGTGTTAGGATTCAGTTTCTTATTAGGGCTCATGGTTTTAGAAGTTTGAGCCCACAGTTGTTCTCTTCTGCTGTTTGGGCCTGTGGTGGCTCAATACCATGTGGAGAGAGCACATGGCAGAAATGAATTCTTCACCTCATGGTAGATGAAAAGCCAAGAGAGCAGGATGAAGAAGTGGTAGTTCAAATATCCCCATTTTAAAACAGCTCCCTCAGCAATCTCACTTCCTTTCCAGGGACTCATCTCTGAAAGGGCCTGCTCCCTTCCACAAGCACCATGCACTGACGACCAAGCCTTGCACACTTACCTGCCAAACCATAGCAGAGAAAAGGTATTTGTTTGCTCTCTGATCTACTCACATAAGTGCAATCATCTTGATCATCTTGATTGCAAGGTATTTCCAGGAATGAGCGAGTTGGATTTCTCTAGAAACTTCCTGGCCCTTAATGCGACATTATCCTTTATTTAACATATCTTCAGCATTTTCCTCATGGTCTCTGAGAGAGCACTAGGGTAACTGGATAAGGATGGATTCCTAAATCAGCTACAAAATGTCCAAAGGAAATTCTCCTGACCCTGATGACCTCACATTTGTCCCTATTCCCTAGTCTAGAAACCATTCTTTCTCATTGGTGCCGTTTTTCTTTACTGTACTTTGATCTCACTTGAATACGGAAACTGTTTCAAAAACAGAATTAGAGTATATCACATTCTATTCACAAGGGGACCTTCTGCACAGGGATGAACTCATTGTTGAAAAGACATATATTTGAGTACGGTGTTAATGAAGTCTACCCATAATTATACATAGTTCTTGGGAACTTGTCAAGTGAACATTTTCTATACTCTTTCACATCAATGAAATATTACATTAAATGAAAGAGGATCTACCAAAAAAGGCAATTTAATGCTTATCAGAAAATGAAGAAACTGCATAGAAGTTAAGAAATGTGCCTTTTGATGTATAAAATCTAACAATTACATTTGTTTTGTAGATTTAGCGCATGCATCTTAACAATCCCACTTTGCTACATCAGTAAATGATTTCCTTCAGCCCCATGATGCAGCTAAGTTATTAAGAAGTCAGTTTTATAGCAAATGTTCTTTTGAGGTTACTGTGTGTTTCAACAATGGACATAAATTAGTGGCCAAATGGATGTTATGTGGTTTTAGGATCCTTTCTGGAGAGAGTAAAATATTACACACACTTCTCTCTTGTGCTGGCTTTCACATTTCTTTATTTCTCACCATCATTTAAAGGTAATTTAAACTTTTCATCACTTCTTCGTCTCTCTCATGTATATTTTCCATCTCTGTCTCTCTATCTCTCTCTGTCTCTCTCACATACTAACACACACACATACACTGACATAGAAAAGAGAGAGAGAGAGAGAGAGAGAGAGAGAGAGAGAGAGAGAGAGAGAGAAATCCTTGATACCATTCTAACTTTCTTGGCTTCTCAAGTTAACCTATTCCTATTGACTCTTCCTCTACTCATGATCTTTCATTGTTTATCAGTTTGGGAATCTATATTTTGTTAAGGCCACATTTAATTTTATATTATTAGATAATATTTCATTTGCAATCAGATCCATGACTTTTCTCTCTTCCATTGACTTACAAATTATGACAGCACTGGCTGGTTTTGTGTGTCAACATGACACAAGTTAGTCATCAGAGAGAAAGGAATCCATGAGATGCAGCTGTAAGGCATTTTCTCAATTAGTGATCCATGGGGGAGGGTTAAGTCTATTGTGGAAGGATTGTGGGAGTTCTGGGTTCTATAAGAAAGCGGGTTGAGCAAGCCATGATGAACAAGGCACTAAGCATCTCTCCTATGTGGCTCTGCTTCAGCTCCTGCCTTCAGGTTCCTGCCCTGCTTCAGTTCCTGTCCTGACTTCCTCCAATGAGGGACCATGATTTGGATGTATAAACCGAATAAAACTTTTCCTCCCAAATTGCTTTTGGTCATGGTATTTCTATACTAGCAATAGAAATCCCAACTAAGACAACTCCTAGTTCAGCTTTCATTCTTACATAATTAATCACTTCAATATTTAATGGCTTACAAGGACTATTTCTCACTAGTCATGGAGTTGACCGGGCTAACTTGCTTGCTATGAAGTTGACTTTGGTCACATCAAGAGCACACTCTATTATACTTGAAATACTAAGATGGCTTTTTGATATGTTGAAATTTGATTTTAGTTAATGGTGAGATGTTTACTGAGGGGATCGATTGGAACAGCAATACATACATGTGGCTAGGGTTTTTAAAACCATGTTATCTGAGTTCCAGGAAGAAATGTTTCAAGATTGAGAAATTCTAGAATGAGGAATTGAAAAACATTAAATTTTAAAAATAGAATATTATATTTATTTTTGTGTATGAGTGCTTACCCTGCATTTTAGGTTAGGGTTTATATTCGCACCATGCTTGTGCCTGGTTCACTCAAAGAACAAAAAAAGTCATTGGATCTCATGGAACTGTAGTTACAAGTGGTTAGGAGTCACCATGTGCGTTCTAAGAAGTGAATCCTGGTGCTTTGCAAGAGAAGCAAGTGTTTCTAACCACTGATCAGTCTTCCAAGCTCCTTTCTGAAAGGCATGCTCGCTACTCTTCATGATTTTAATTCCATTAGTCCTTTTGGCTCACAGTCCACCATTTCATCATTTAAGTCAGGCCTAGGTGAGTGGGTATTTTGACTTCACTGCATATAAAGATATATAAACTAAAAGAAAAATTATCTGATGCTCACAAATTTAACATAGAATTGCAAGATGAAGACTGTGGAATTTAATAAGCACATTGCTTCAAATAGACAAGAGACAAATACTAATCTCTACCTTACAGAAATACTGAAATTTAGCTAAGTGTGTGTCAGTTCTATGATTATGGCCTCTTTTTACTTTTTTTTTTTTTTGGATTAATTCTCTGAGCTTCTTGTAATTATCCATGGAGAGCATCCTTCTCCTGAAGAAGTATCCCACACTTGTATCTGAGTCGCTTTTTCAGACTTTGTTCTTATTCTCAGATGTTAGGAGTTCCAAAGGTCAATTTTGTACCACTTTATTAGACTTCACTACAAACTGAGTATAAAAATGTAACAAAAAG